ATGGAATTAAACTTAATTTTTTCGCTCCTATAACTCCCCCAACAAAATGGTGTTATAGAGTGCAAAAATCGAGTTTTAGAGGAGTTGGCAAGAACTATGATCAATGAAGGTGGTCTACCTAAATATTTTTGGGCCAATGCAGTAAGCATAACTTGTTATGTTTTAAATAGGATACTTATACGTCCTATTTTAAACAAAACTCCTTATGAACTTATAAAAGATAGAAACCAAATTTATCACATCTTCATGTCTTCGGATGCAAATGGTCTCAAACAAGCCCCTAGGGCTTGGTATGAGCGACTTAGAAAATTCTTACTTGATCAAGGATATTCTAGAGGGAAGGTAGATACAACACTTTTCATTAAACGTCAAGGAAAACATATTCTTCTCGTTCAAACTTATGTTGACGATATCATATTTGGTTCTTCTAATATGAAATTGGTCAAAGAGTTTTCGGAGATAATGCAGGGAGAGATTGAAATGAGTCTAATGGGGGAGTTAAACTACTTACTCGGACTTTAAATCAAACAACTCAAGGAAGGAACTTTTGTGTGTCAAAAAAAGTATTGCCAAGAGTTGCTTAAACGCTTCGAAATGGTTAGTCTGAATTTAATTGACACTCCAATTCCCACAAATGGAAACTTCGACAAAGATGAAAATGGTAAGGATGTTGTCATCAAAAGGTATAGAGGTATGATTGTATCACTCTTATATATTACTACTTTTAGGCCTTTGGTATCCCAAAGGATGCGACTATAGTTTAGTTGGTTACTCTGATTCTGACTTTGCCAGTTGCAAATCATATAGGAAGAGCACTAGTGGAACTGGCCACTTATTTTCAAACTCTTTAGTCAGTTGGCATAGCAAGAAGCAAGTATCTGTTTCTTTGTCAACTGTTGAAGCGGAATACATTGTTGCGGGTAAATGTTGTGCTCAAACTTTGTGGCTTAAACAACAATTTCTTGATTTTGACATTAAACTTCAAAGTATTCCCATAATATGCAAAAATAATAGTGTTATTAACCTAACTAAAATAATGAGCTACACTCACATACTACACATATTTAGATATGTCACCATTTCCTATGTGACCATGTTGAAAAAATGGATGTCGTTTTTGAGCATGTTGATAACAAAAGTCAACTTGCTGATATTTTCATAAAACCTCTTGCGGCCAAACCATTTTTCAATATTCATCGGGAATTGGGCATTCTCGATATCTCAAATTTTACCTAAATAGTTTGATACATGCACTCTCTCTATAATTGTTTAACCTTCTTTTGGAAGTTCTAGTTCTTGTGAGTGCATCCTCCATTTGTCATCCTATGGGGTAATATCGTTTCACTTATCTCTTTGTATGTAAGTGTTTATTTATTCCATTGCTTATACATGACTCTTAAAAACTTGATTACGTGTTTATGTTTCAAATGTATCTGATATATTTGATGTGTAATGCAATCCCATGAATGTTCACTTCCAAAAAATTTGTTGTTAACATTTCGTGTTTTCAATCCATATGCTTATAGTGACTTCATGTTTTAATATTTTGCATTTCATAATCATTTGTATTTCATGGCATAAACTCTTCATTTGAAATATCTTATGATAACTGATCTTACCGGTTGATCAGGACCTGTAAATGGTCTGAAGGATGATATCTGGCTTGCTGGAAAGTTGAGGAGAAAGGGGGCGTTGTACCTGCAAGGCACTCTGATGATCAAGAAATAATGGGTGCAAAGAGATACAAGCAGAATATTAAGGTTTAAGGTTTGAATATTGGATACCTGGCCCTCATAAGTGTGAGGGTTTATATAGTTCCCCTAACGCGTAGTCATTGGTCCCTATTTTTGGGCCTAGATATGCGGGTCCGTAAAAATGGGTAACTGCCAAGACTGGGTCAAAACAGACAGTCGTGCCTGTAACTAGCCGTTGCATCGAGCAAGATCGAGATGACGGGCAGAAGCGTTCATGAGCATTTCCTGGGCGTCTGCTCCTCATGTGTCGAGCAGAATGAGAGGTAGCTTCCCGCACGGGAAGGCGTGTGTTTCGGGTATTGTTGGTCACGTTATTCAAGGGCATGGCCGACCGTAATGCTAGGCCAGTAATATTGGGCCATGCCAAAGGTAGAATCAGATTGGGCCAATTCTATTCATTAGGCCAGTCTAGAATAGGAGCCCCCTAAGTCGTTGCTTTTGGGCAGAGGAGTGATGACTTAGATGTGCTTGCAAAACGGGGGTGCTCCTTGGTCGATTTCACACGAGGAGTACAAGTGATGCTCGGTGTGTTTGCCTAGTTGAGAGAGGAACAATTGAGCAGCTCCGAGGAGTTATCATGTTTCAAGGGGTAATTTCATGCGAGGAGTCTGAAAATTGCTCGGTGTGTTTGTCTCTCGGGGAGAGGAACAATTGAGCGTCTCTGAGGAGTTATCGTGTTTCAAGGGGAAATTTCGCACGAGGAGTCTGAATATTGCTCTGTGTGTTCATCTCCCTGGGAGAGGAGCAATTAGTTGGAATCTGGGGAGTTTGTGTGCCACGCTTGCATCGAGCCACATGTTTCCATAAAGGCGTGATGATGGCTAGCCTAGGGATTAAAGCGTAATGATGATTCCTTTTAGGGTTCCCTAGGCACGTGCTCGCTCACGTGCGAGCATGCTGTTCTATAAAAGGCAGGGACAGAGCTTCATTTTTACTTTTTCGCTTGCTCTCCTTCTGCTCGACACTGCATATTTTTGCTCGACACAATTATTCTTTGAATCATTTCGTTCGTTCCGCTATTCGCCGATGTTTGCTTTGCCAATAATTTGGTAAGGTTCTTTATTCTTCCCTATTTCAGTGGAATTTTTTTATGTTGTAGGCTAGGTTTTGCGCCTCTTCTTTTAAAAATGTATGCGGTTTATGGCTTAGAGTAACTTAGTGTGAGAATTACTGGCGGAGTGTTGGTTGCGGATGGTGGTTCTGTTGCCTGAGGATGGTAGTTCCTCTGCATGTCTTGTAGGGATGCTTCAAACATAGTGTAGGTAATAGAAGTTTGTGATGAAGTCTCCGGTAATATTGGGGCCGTTTCTGGGTTCATGCTATGGTCTTCGTGAGGGACGATGAATTCCCAAGAGCGGCTTCAAGCCAACAATATTGGGGAGATAGCTGCTCGGAGGATCCCCATCCTTGCTCGGTGCAGATGCGCCCGATAAGACAGGGTCCTCGTTCCTTTGCGCCATTTCACTTGATTAGCGGTGAAATGGTGGATTTAATTCTGATGTCAAATTCACTTTTGTCCTCTGCTTTTCAGGTATAATGGCCAGTGGTACGGAAGATGAGTTTATGGCTGAACCTAGTGACTCCTTGTTAAGTCTTTCCGAGTGCTCTTCGATGGAAGAGAACCTAGTGACTCCTTGTTAAGTATTTCCTGACTCTCTTCATCCGATCTTACCGAATACAGTTGAAGTAGAAGCAAACCTATATTTTCAAGCTCAACCGAGCCATATCATGGAGTATGCAAGCAAGTCATTGCGAAACAAGGAGATACTCATGGTGAAGTTTCTTTGGGAGGAGTCGTATCCGAGCGAGGCTACTTGGGAGCTCAAGTCCAAGATGCGAGAGTTCTATCCTCATTTGTTCTTGTAAGTTTTAAAGTATAAAAGCTAATATAAATTTTATTATTTTTATTTTTATATAAAAAATATTTTATATTTTACCTTACACCAAATTTGTTGAATCGATACTGCTTATATTGATCTGAAGTGTTTCACGTTGGAGTTAAACTAATAAATACATGATAAAAAAAAAAAGAGCTATCCAACTCACTCTATTTTAGATATGAAGATTCTCATCTATTTTGCTTTCATTTTGTCTCTTAATTCTCAACCTCTTTCTTCATTAAATAAGAAAAATATAATCAAATAAAAAGTGAGTAAAATTAAAAGAGAAAAAAATAAAAAGATAGTCAAATATAAGAAATTTAGAGTATTTTGAAAAAAAATATATGTGAAAATGTATAACACAAGAGAGTGAGAAACTCATTTCTTTAAAATAAAAAGGATGATCTTTAAGAGATAAAGTAGACAGCTACAGTGATTTTTGTTTTGATCTGAAATTAGACATTTTCAAATTTTTTATTTTATATATTTCATCTACCAAAGAGTAAGAATTGTATAACTATCAAACTAAAACAGCTTCAACCAAATTCTGGTCTCGCACGTATTGATGAAATTACGGTAAGATTCAAGTGAGAAACAAAAGGGGATGTAGCTCAGATGGTAGAGCGCTCGCTTAGCATGCGAGAGGTACGGGGATCGATACCCCGCATCTCCATATTTACCTTTTCTTCTTCTCTTTTTTGATGACGCAATCCGTAACGCGAATGCGAAAATTTTCTTTTAATTTTATCAGTTTCAATAGGTGTTTGAAATCAACATTGCTAGGGTTTGTTCTTCAACCTTGAATGTAATTTAATTTTATCAGTTTCAATAGGTGTTTGAAATCAACATTGCTAGGGTTTGTTCTTCAACCTTGATTGTACGGGTTTGGATGGTTTGGTTGTACATTTTGTGCAGGGAGTTCATCAAACATTGCTGAGTTTGACGCCTGCTGACGGGGTGGTATAAAGTATGCTTCTCAGTAGCAACATGAAAATAATGACTTGGAAGGTAATATTATAAGTCATTTCATATATTGGTTTAGAGTTTTTTGAAATTCATGTGTCGTGGCTTGTGAAATATTACGATTATTGATTGACTATTAGATAAAAGTTGCAGTTACTTAACAGTTATTCCGCAAAATTGATCATGGGAATGTGATACTGCTATAATGCTATTAATTGTTTTATTTCATTGATGCACAAAAACTTTTCCTATTTATGTATATATATTTATTATGCAACTTTCTCCGTCATTACTGCAAAGCGGCGCTATCCTCCAAATTTATGTTGGGCGGCTAATACTTATAATAATGAGAGAGATTGAAATCCCTAGTAGGGGAAAAATGCTCCCACTGTGATGAATTTGGATGTGTTCCTGCATAAACAAGACCATGTATGTAATCTTCTTTATAACCAACTCCTTTCTAGTTCTTAATTTTTTTTTGTTTCTAACCATGTGTACTTATGTATTGGAATTTCAAGTTTATTCTAGTGATTCAATACCTTGGATAAGTTTGTGTCATTGATTGCTTTGACTTGTGTTGACTTATCACTTATCAGTAGTCAAGTTCAGAGTTTTATGCTTGATATTTTGTGGGCAGTTCTGGCAATGGCAGAGGAAGGGCTTTTGATACAATAAATGATAGAGAAAGAACAAGAGGGTGGGGTGGTGGCAGTGTGAGTGGCTCGGGAACGGATAAAATTGATGCTCTTGGTAGCCTCCTGTAAGCACTACTTGGCCCTCTAATAGTTTTTTGTTTACATTAACATTCCTTTCTTCCTTTGTAGCTAGATAATGCAAGTTTCATTTGTCTTTGTTCTTTTGTTTGAAAATAAAGTGGATATTCTCACCATGTGTACTTATGTATTGGAATTTCAAGTTTATTCTAGTGATTCAATACCTTGGATAAGTTTGTGTCATTGATTGCTTTGACTTGTGTTGACTTATCACTTATCAGTAGTCAAGTTCAGAGTTTTATGCTTGATATTTTGTGGGCAGTTCTGGCAATGGCAGAGGAAGGGCTTTTGATACAATAAATGATAGAGAAAGAACAAGAGGGTGGGGTGGTGGCAGTGTGAGTGGCTCGGGAACGGATAAAATTGATGCTCTTGGTAGCCTCCTGTAAGCACTACTTGGCCCTCTAATAGTTTTTTGTTTACATTAACATTCCTTTCTTCCTTTGTAGCTAGATAATGCAAGTTTCATTTGTCTTTGTTCTTTTGTTTGAAAATAAAGTGGATATTCTCACCATGTGTACTTATGTATTGGAATTTCAAGTTTATTCTAGTGATTCAATACCTTGGATAAGTTTGTGTCATTGATTGCTTTGACTTGTGTTGACTTATCACTTATCAGTAGTCAAGTTCAGAGTTTTATGCTTGATATTTTGTGGGCAGTTCTGGCAATGGCAGAGGAAGGGCTTTTGATACAATAAATGATAGAGAAAGAACAAGAGGGTGGGGTGGTGGCAGTGTGAGTGGCTCGGGAACGGATAAAATTGATGCTCTTGGTAGCCTCCTGTAAGCACTACTTGGCCCTCTAATAGTTTTTTGTTTACATTAACATTTCTTTCTTCCTTTGTAGCTAGATAATGCAAGTTTCATTTGTCTTTGTTCTTTTGTTTGAAAATAAAGTGGATATTCTCATTCTTTTCATGTGGAGAGAAGTTTGTCAATCTGTCATGCTTTGATTAAGGAAGGAAGCAATTTTATAAGATATCTTCTGTAAATTTAGCCAATTAAAAGCAGTCTCTTTTGAAAAATAACATGTACTTTGTTTGCATGGGATTGGAGCAACATAGTAGATGTCGGATGAACTCTATGCTATGACTTAAGTAAAACTGTTTTGTGCCTAATTCTTTTACTAAGCAATTTCTCTCATTATAATTTTGTTTAATATCTGCAGGATATGGCATCTGAATTGAAATTGAATATGAGGAGTGATGGTTATTTGAATGTTAATGATTTGCTAAAGTTGAATTTGAAGACACTTGATAATATTCTTCTGCGATCCAACACCATTGATGGCATTAGGGAGGTCAGTTGTCTAGTATATGTTTTTTTTTTCTTTCTTTTTCCGGCTGCACAAGCTCATCCCATTTTATATGCTTTTCCGTTTCTGTTTTAATTTGATTATCATGAATACAAAAAAACAAATATATAAAATAAAGTCATATTTATGGTATTAGCCGTACTCCAATATGTTTATTTTTCTGTTATGAAACACAAGAGAATGATTACCTATGGAACTTTTATTCCTTTTGTCATCTGTTTTTTATAATGAAGTTCTTATGCTGATCAGTAGCTTTTTATATTAGAGATTTTCTTTCCTTTTTTATTGTACTCTAACAGGACCAGGACCAGGACCAAGAATTCTAGAATTAGGATGAAATAGCTAGTATGGGTGGCCGTAAATCGCAGAAGAGAAACCTTTTGGAACTGTATTAATTGAAGGAAATGCAGTACAGTGGACGGAGAAGATTCTCCCTACAATTTTAGAAAAGTAAACGCTAACTGAATGATACTCACTGAGAATATCCCCCTACTGAGTTGATAATTGCTCTCTCTTCTCGGTCCCAATTTCTATTTCATAAAACTGACCCCTTTTGCACTTCTCAATTCTATTATATTCACATTCTCTTCCACGATTCTCTCAATCCCCACCACTCCTAGGCTGCCATCTGTCATGTTAGTTGCATTTCCTCTTAACCACTTGTCAAGTTTGTTAGAAGTTAGTTAGGCTAACCACTTGTCAAGTTAGTTAGAAGTTAGTTATGCTTCCATCTCTTCTCTTTCTTTTTCTTTTCTACCCTTCCTTCTATACACATATTTTAGAGGCCTATCAACACTAACCCCCACCAGTGCTACCTTGTCCTCATGGTTAAATTCTGGCAAGACTTGAGAGATTTCCCAAGTGTTTTCATCTTCAGGCAGTCCCTCCCACAGAATCAGCACCTGTTCAGTTCCATTCGGTAGTCTCCTTACTCCCAACACTTCCTTTGGTTGAACTTGTAGCTCCCATTCTGCATTCAAACACTGGTAACCGCTGCACTGCAATTCCACTCTCTACTGCTTTCTTCAGCTGAGATAAACGGAACACCAGGTGTATTTTAGAATTGGAGGGTAATGCCAATTTATATGCTACACTGCCAATCTTGTCGATAACTTTAAATGGTCCATAAAATCGTGTACTCAGCTTCTCATTGGGTTTATTAGTTAAGGATTTGAACCTATAAGGTTGTGCCTTCAAGTACTCCTTATCCTTCAATTCATAGGTCACCTCTCTCCTCTTCTTAACCGCCCACTGTTTCATGCTATTATGTGCTCTGCTCAACTGCTCCTTTAAGTTTTCCAACACAACATCACGTTCCCCTAGGAGTTGATCCACCCTTCAACTCTTGCCCCTCCCGAGGGTATTTGATCACTCATGGTGCCTTCCTCCCATATATTGCCTTAAATGGGTTCATGCCAATTGAAGCATTCTAATACAAGTTGAACCAAAATTTAGCCCATGCTAACCATTTTACTGTTTTGGCTGTTCATTGGCAAAACACCTCAAATATGTCTCCAACGTTCTGCTTGTTACCTCCAAGTGCCCATCCGTTAGTCGATAATAAACAGATCTGAACTTCAGTTTGGTCCCTGATAAGGTGAACAACTCACGCCAAAAAAGACTCATGAGCACCCGGTCTCGGTCAGAGATGATGGAAGTCGGAAACCTGTGTAATTTCACCACTTCATTGATGAACATCCCAGCTACTGTCCTTGTTGTATAAGGGTGACTCAAGGCCTTGAAATCAGTTCCTTTGGACAGCCTATCTACCACCACCATTATATTGTCGTTCCCTTTGGATTTTGGTAGTCTTCCAATAAAATCCATAATGAGATCCTTCCAAATCTGAACCGGCACAGGAATTGGCAGAAATGATATGGCCCAAGTATTCTAATTGAGTTATATACCAAAACTACACTTTTTAAAGTTCACCTTTAGAGGATGTGTCCTTAACACCTCCAACACAATCTTCAAATGGTCAACATGTAAACCAATATGTCGTCAAAGAAAACCAACATAAACTTTCTTAAATAAGGCTTAAAAATATCGTTCATGAACACTTGGAAATTGGATTGTTAGTCCTAGATGACATTTGGATGGAGCATTAGTCAAGCCAAAAGGCACGACAACTACTCATAGTGACCCTCATGAGTTTTAAAAGCCGTCTTGGAAATGTCACTCTCTTTCATTCTTATTTGATGATAACCCAATTTCAAATCCAGTTTTTTTGGTATCAGTGGATGGAGAAGATTCTCCTTACAATTTTAGAAAAGTAAATGCTGACTGAATGATACTCTCATTGTGAGAATATCCCCTACTGAATTGAGAATTGCTCTCACTTCTCAGTGCCAATTTCTATTTCATAAAACCAACCCCTTTTACCCTGCACCTCAATTCTATTATATTCAATTGTCTTCCGTGATCCTGTCAATCACCAGTACTCCTAACTGCCACTTGTCCACTCGTCAAGTTGGTTAGAAGTAAGTTAGGCTAACCACTTGTCAAGTTAGTTAGGTTGCCGCCTCTTCTCTTTCTTTTCCTTTTCTACCCTTCCTTCTATACAAATATTTTGGAGGCCTATCTCATGTATTTTCAAAGGACCTCTATAGCTTGTACATGAAAATGAAAAATATGAGAAATATGGAATGTTGTTTCATTCTTCAATATTTGTTCATCTAGTTATTAATACGAACCCTTGACTCTTAACTGTAATGTTAATTTCGTATGAATTTGCTGAAGAAACACATTTTATTCTAAAGTATCTCATGGTTATCCTCAGGCTGTTCGAGAAGATAATAAGCAACGTTTCAGCCTCATAGAAGAAAACATGGTAAAAATGTTATTTGTTCATCAAATTTGCCTATTAAGTTTTTATAATTGAAGTGGTCGGTATTGTACTCTGTAATACATTAAAATGGTAATGCACCTAATTCTTTGTTCAAATTTGCTAGTCATTGTCACGTTGAGACGCAATCAGTGACATGCTCTTTAAGACTCAACTAGTCAGAGACCCATGCTCCCGTACGGGTGAATTTATTTGATACGATATAAAATATACTTAGAAGTACATAAATTTGAAATGAGATATTTAATTGTAAAATAAACAATTATCATAAAATTCAATTGTATTAAATAATCATATAAAATGAAAAGAAAAAAGGGAACCAATGAAATCTAGAAAGAAAGAAAAAAGAAAATTTTGAAATTTGAAAGAAGTTTGGTCAATTGAATAATAATTATTTGATAGTAGATGATCATAAAAGCTCAATGTATTAAATAACCATATAAAAAAAAGAAGCGTGAGTTGGAAGAAAATATGAAATTTTAACAAACATAAATGTAAACAGGTAGTTGATAGTGATTTTATCTCTTAAATTAAGATAATGATTGATTAAATTAAATTAAATATTGTGTTGATAGTGATCCGTGAGATAAATAAATTTTCTATTTTATTAAAATTAAAAAATATATTATAGTGATAATAAAAAAATTAATTAAAATTAAAAAAATATTATAGTGACCCGTGATATTAAAATTAGAAAAATAGATTAATTTGTAATTTTAGTGATAATAAACAAATAACATAGATTAAATATGTCCTAAAATTAGTGTTTCTTTAATGATCTAGATATTTAGCCTTTATATCATACAATAAACTCCTTTTCAAGGGTTAAATGCCTTCTTGCCTTCTACTCCTGCAAAGCAATTTTTTTGTGATTCCTCCCTTATAAAATACAGACCCTTTTTGTACTATTTAGCTTACTGTGCATAAGGAGTCTTGCTTTATTCATCAAACATCCAACCACTGCGCCATCAGTTTTGTTGTTGCAAATAATTACCTCAAAATTAATTAATATCAAAATTATTTAATCTTTTCCAATTTCAAATCCCTAATTAAATCTGATAAGCAAAATAAAAAGAAATCTGCAAAATATTAAGGCGAGTTACGGTTGTTGTTATTGTTTTCCTTACAGGAATCTTAAGCACACCGTCCTTGTTTATTATCAAAAACGCAGAAGGCCGTCTTAATCATCTTATTTGTCCCATTTCCTCTTAAAATCTTAGTTTTATTTACACACAAATGTAAACTATATCCTTGTTAACCTTCATTAGATTGTGGACTGATACAGTCTCAAAGCTCTACTTTACACTGGTAAATTCAAATTCGAGCTCTATTTTTGATTCAACTATGTGGGTTTCATTAGAAGACTTAGATTATGGAACCAACAATGCTTATAATAATGGTGAGAAATGACATCTAGATAATTGTTATCATAGACACTGTTGTTTTCTTTCCTTGACTGTGCCTACATATTTTCATTCTCTTTAGTGTTTTGGAGAAAACCAGAGCTAAATGGATTAACAGGTAGAAGTCTTGAACATAATCTTCATGAGATAAATACACTTGAATGAGATGATCTAGTGGCTTCTCATGCTAATACCACTTGAACGACAATGATTACAAAGCCGATGGGGCAGTGGTTGGATGTTTGATATAAGGGGGAATCACAAAAAAAAAATCTTAAGGCATTTAACCCCCTTTTCAATTATGATTTTGTTTGGCAAGAACTTTAACCCTGCATTGTTGGTTTAAGTTTTTTTAGGGTGGTTTTTTCTACCAAGTTTACATGAATCCAACTGAAAACTTTTGCCTAAACAAATAGAATAGTGTAAGCCATCATCTATTTATTGTTTAATCAATTTATATTTATACTTTATACTTTTGTTGGATATGTATCTATCATTCAATTAATATCATGTTATATTGATAATTTATTTTTTAGAATTGATAGTTTAGTTGAGTTACTGTTGAAAATGTAACGATACATTCATATTTTCATGGACAATAGTGACCCGTGTGAGAATTGGATGAAGAAGTTATATGATTGTTTGCTTGATTAGTTAGAAATGGTTTAGTAAGAAATTCTTGAACTAATTGGCAAGGGGATTTTTATTCAGCTCTGCTTGTAAGCCACAAGAAATATCAAGAAGCATTACTCATTTCAACGAATAGAAAAATAGCTATAATTTAAGACTTTAGTAGAGTCATGCACCCTCAGAATATTAAACATGTTGCATTGATATCTCATGCACCACAAAATGTACAATCTTAATCACATCAACAAAAGAATTCTCAGCCTAAGCATTGAATAAACCGCAACACAATTCCTGCATGAGAATTTACATCACAGAACTGAGGAGACATCTATATGCAGTGTTCCCCAAACCCTCTTAAATTCACCAACATATACTTCCATTATTTTGTCAATCAATCTACAATGCCAAGTGTATTAAGGCCTTGAACCAGACTAAGGACCATGACTTTTAATCAACTATGATTCTTATAAAATTGCCTCTGGCATCCCAAGCTTGCTTGCCACTGATATATAATTGCGTTGGGATATCGCACGGGTGAATTAATTCAAGTGCTATCAAATATCTTTCAGATATTTCATCAAGCAACTTGTAGGCAGAAGTCCAATCATTGAAACCAGAATTTTCAAAAAAGATGAAGCATAAAAGAACAGAGTACAAAGAACCATATTCCAACATTCCATACACATGTCGCATCGGACACAACATCAACACACATGTTCCTTTCAATTAATCTATTTTAAAAGATTACTAATGTCCATGCGTTCACGAATTACAATCAGCTAAAACACAGAAAAACCAACATAGTCAGAAAAACAAAAAAGACTGAATAACATGCTAAGTTCAATAGCCTATAAATGAAAACAATAAACAACAGTGCCAAGATAAAAATAACAAAACATTTCATTTATTAAATGTGCTTGAAGAAAGAAAAAAAATACAAAATTTGAGATAGAGGTGCCTGAGACATAGTACTTATTATTCTAGTTTAAGATATGATATCTCTGCAAGTTCTCCATTCAAAAATGGAATTTATGTTACTGCTACTATGTTCCAGCCACATGAATTCTATATATTGCTGATACATTGTAATTGATGTTAAATTTCCCCGCGTGAATTGCATGACTATTTAAATCGTTAAAAAAATATCAGATCCATTGGTGTTCAATTTCCAAAATCGGCCACAACACAACCAACAAATTATTCAATGCTGAAATATTGAATTCAACAACAAAATGCTCGGCCATCGCCTACAATCCATAACTCTTCTCCAGTTTCTGAAACTGGTTGAGGAAGATCCATGTCATCTGGTATAAGCAATATATAACAAAGGCGAAAGAATCATTGTGAAGAGAATAATACCATGACATGAGGAGCAATCCTAACACAAAAGACAAGGAATTTAGTGTAACATTTGAAGGGTCCTCCTGCTTTGAAGGTTATGACAACACAATCAAGAGAGCATGTGTACGAATATTTTCCTTCAACATCAGGTTGCATCTTCTGAATCTGAGTACATGCGTAAGTATTCACAAACCCTAAGTCTCTATCAAAACCATGTTCTTGCACATACATAGTAGGTATAACTGCAAAACAATAGATAATAAATCAGAAAAAATCAAATCTTAAAATCAAAATTGCAAAACAAAGATGCAGAAAACACATACTGAAATGACTTGCTCAGATCTTGAGCGTCTTGGATTGCCTTATTAGAAGTCTAACTTTACCGGTAACCTTATATTTCAAAAACTTGACAGTACCAGTCCCTCTCTCCTTCCACTGATTTCCATCCTTATCAAATCGGTAAAGCTTTGATTTGTTGCGATCAATGAAACACAATGAAAAATATGCAATAAAACCCTAAAAATAAACCCTTCAAATGGTAATGCACCTGATTCTTTGTTTAAATTTTCTAGTCATTGTCACGTTGAGACGCAATCAATGACATGTTCTTTAAGATTTAATATCTTGTAATTTTTCTCTCTTTCCTTTTGTATCTTTACACAACTATGACATGAGTCATCTCAGAAATTTTAAATCACTGCATGCTTTTTTTCTTTATAAACTGCTTACATGACTTCAAAATGTATTGATTAGCTAAATGGTATTGTTACTACAGAAATTAACTTATATTTGTGAGTAGGTATAGAATATGAGTTTAATTTATATGTTCTGACAGTGTAAAATTATTTTATACGGTTATTCAATAGAAAACCAATAATGTGTCTTGTTGTTAAAATAATTTTAAAATTAAAGTGTGATTTATTCTAATATAAGATTTTGAATGGTTAACAGTGTAAAATTAATTTATATTGTCAGTACATCACTTTCCAACTGATTTCGCTTAAAAAGTTTGATGATGCAACACCAAGTGATTCTCTAATTCCATGATGTGTGAAATCCAGACTTTGTTTCAAGAAAATTTGCTGCATTAATAAAATAAAAATTTCATTAATATATTGACCAGTGTAAAAAACATTCTTCAATTTCTAGAAGAAAGATCTGAATAAACTGAACAAACTTCAAGAACAAAACCTTTCTTCACATTACATCAAAAAAGTGTTGGGAACTTTTTTCTTAAAAAAACGAACTGGACAAAAACAGTGCACTTACAATCTATGTTAACAAATGTGACGTTTTAGCAAGAAACAAAATGCGAATTGAAGCTCTATCTACCGTGATGCAATTCTCAGGTGTACTTCCTTAATATTAATGGTCGCAAATCGCATCTTTGAGCGCGCTATAGGAGATGAGAAGAAAATACAAAAACCTAATACAAAGGAATGAATCTATTTTATTACGAATTTCATGCATTATTTCAGTCACGATTAAAAGAGTTTAGAACAAAGATTAAGAATAGAATTGAGAGTGAATCTGGTTTTTAGGGAGCTAACAATCAAAAGTTTGAAATAATTTCAAATTTGCCACCGCCTCATGTTTTTAAATCAAGTGGGAGGTAATCAACTTAACAAGTTTTTCTAAAAAGTGTTTTTTGTACTGGCAGTACTGCTCAAGGGGTGTGGTCGACCAGGGATGTTTGACAAGAGGTCCAGAGTTATTGGACCAACATTGTTGGACCATTCAAAGGGTAAAAACGGATTGAGCCAATTCTAGTCATTAGGCTACTTCAAAACATATAGTTCCATCATAACTATTATATGTTATTTTTTATGCTAATAAGGAAATAAGATTAGATTAAATTATGATATCTCTATTATTGAAAGATAATAGGTAAATGCTTTTATTATTTCATTTCTCAGCTAAAGGTTAATATCTCTATTTTGTCAAGCTTTTGGTCAGGATATTTGCAGTTTACTAACTCGAGTCACAAAAGGTAAACATATAATTCTAGTATTTAACTTCTCCTTTATAAAATGTTGATCAATCTCAATATGCTTGGTTTTGTCATGTCGAACTGAATTATGAGCTATGTTAATAGCAACTTTACTGTTAGAGTATAATTTCAATGGAAGATCAATTTTCCTCTTAAGTTCTTCTAGGACTCCATGGATCCATATTTCTTCACAAATACCTTGAGTCACAACTCTAAACTCGGCTTCAACACTACTTCTTGCTATTACTCCTTGTTTTTTGCTCCTCCATGTCACAAGATTACACCAAATATAGGTATAATATCCAGAGGTTGATCTTCTATTTGTGACTAAACCTGCCCTATCAGTATTAGTGAAGATAAACACATTTCTTTCAGTATTCTTTTTAAAAAGTAAGTTTTTTCTGGGGTTTTCCTTCAAATATCTCAGTATCCTATAGATTGCCTCAAGATGTTCCTCAAACGGAGAATGCATAAACTGACTTACTACACTAACTGAGAAAGAAATATGAGATCAGATGTGTGACAAATAAATCAGTTTCCTAACCAATCTCTGGTATCTTCAAGTATCAACAAGAATATTAACTTCTCCCCAAAGTTTAGCATTATGATCCATATGGGTATCTGTAGGACGATATCCACTCATTCATGTTTCTTTCAATAAGTCTAGAATGTATTTCTATTGTAAAGCAACAATACTATTCTTTGATCGAGCTACCTTCATACCACGAAAATATCTAATGGATTCCAAGTCCTTGATTTCAAAGTCTAATTGTAATTCATCTTTTACTTTTTCCATTCCAATTGTATCATCTCCAGTAAGGATAATATCAACATAAACAATCAGGGCAACAAATTTTCCATTGTGGGAAAACTTTGTGAACAAGGTGTGGTCAACTTGTCCTCGAATGTGCCCTTGTTTCTTCATAGACTGAGTGAATTTTTCAAACCAAGCTCTAGGGGCCCGCTTTAATCCATACAAAGACTTATTTAGTTTCACACATTTGATCCAAATTTGTTTTCAAATCCAGGAGGAATTCCCATATATACTTCTTCTTCTAGATCATCATTGAGAAATGTGTTGCAGCGGTAGGGCGACAAGCAAAAAGTAAGGTATTATTTTACCGAATGATATAGGTTATATTGTA